ATAAACCCGTAGATGATAAATCAAACAACAACAAACATATGAAACATATGTGTGAACTGCGGTTATGAGACGTATATGAGAACGATCCTTCGCAGTAAAGCACTATTTGAGCAATAGTGAAAATCAGACCTGAAAAAAATTTCAGGCCTGTACGGGATTCGAACCACTGACCTCTGCGATACTAGTGCAGCGCTCTACCAATTGAGCTAACAAGCCAACTGGGAGCAGGCCATCAAATTAATTCGACATAAACCCGTAGATGATAAATCAAACAACAACAAACATATGAAACATATGTGTGAACTGCGGTTATGAGACGTATATGAGAACGATCCTTCGCAGTAAAGCACTATTTGAGCAATAGTGAAAATCAGACCTGAAAAAAATTTCAGGCCTGTACGGGATTCGAACCACTGACCTCTGCGATACTAGTGCAGCGCTCTACCAATTGAGCTAACAAGCCAACTGGGAGCAGGCCATCAAATTAATTCGATATAAACCCGTAGATGATAAATCAAACAACAACAAACATATGAAACATATGTGTGAACTGCGGTTATGAGACGTATATGAGAACGATCCTTCGCAGTAAAGCACTATTTGAGCAATAGTGAAAATCAGACCTGAAAAAAATTTCAGGCCTGTACGGGATTCGAACCACTGACCTCTGCGATACTAGTGCAGCGCTCTACCAATTGAGCTAACAAGCCAACTGGGAGCAGGCCATCAAACGTTTCAACGTCGTAACAATATATTGTTGTCTACCTTTGGTAATCAAGCTACCGGTATACAGCTGCTTTCGAATCGAAAGTCAGTAGAATTTCATGCGTGACATTTCTTGGGAATCGTTCCCGTCAGTTTGTCAACAACCCAGTCGGAAAGTTTGTCCATCTTTAAATAATTTACACTCTCCTTGTGAGTTACCGCTTTCTCACAGAGTTCTGCTTCAGAGAGAAAACTAGGAAATTAACTGACTAACAGAAACCGAAGCATGGAAACCATCGCCATATGCCTGACAACCAATCATACCGTTGTGTATGCAATATAGAGCTCGCATTAGGAAAAATAGTTAACTTATAACAATCTACCGCAGTCAAACTGTATTCTTTAGGTCTACCTTATGTTTCATCTTTGCCCAGTGATCCGTATTCCCTGCCATGAATCTGTGCTTCGCGGGTTCCTTTTGTGCCCAGTGCGACAAACTGTAAACAAACAGAAAGAGTCAGAGTTGTTATCTCTCTTCGTTGTCCATCGTCCAGTCTTGAGTCGATCACTCACTAGGGCAGGCTTCCCGTGTTATCGCGATATAATTGTATATCAGTCATGTTAGGCTTTAGGGGTGACTTGACTAAGCCGGTGACATAATAATTTGAAGACTCCTTCGGCGAGCATTTGTTCGCGGCTGCCCGTGTATTGTGTTACTTGGTTTAATTTGTATTGAAATAATTGCAGGGTGACGCAGAAGTCATAATGCGCTGTCATGTGACTTGAATGACCCGCTCCACAGTTCAGTGGAGACGGAAGAATGGCGGGCGAGGAACGAACATTTTTCTTTTCCTTTTCTATTCGCACACGTTTCCCACTCAAAAAAAGGTGAAACGCACGAAAAAATAAAACTTGCTAAAAAAAGAATTAAATTGTCTGCAAGTTCGTTGACTTTGATGATGACTTCCGCTCGCAGTGCTGCAGTTGTCGAAACGTGAGTAATCAGTATTGCTGAGGTTTCAGAAATACTTTAGTACCTTCACCCGAACAATCATACTCGACGATCAAACAATTTGGGGATTGCAGATCCTGTTTACCTCGTTCAAAATTTTTATTTGAACGAGGTAAACAGGATATATCCCATATCTTTCGTTCTTATTCCCAACTGAAGAAAAACAAAACAAAACAAAGCAAATCTGAAGAAACAAACAAAATACACTTTCTAATACCATCATGGATTTTTTTGCTCGGCAAAATTGCCGGTATTATATTTTAGGGACAAATTATGCTACAATTCCGGTGGAAACTTACTGGACCTAGTCTTTTAGTGGGGGCTTTAGATATTGTAGTCTTGAATTTGATAAAAAAAAAAAAAAAAGTGGGATAAATTTGATTAGAAAAACCAGGAGTTTGACAACAAACAATCGTGCGATCTTGTGTGCCCTACCATAAGTCGGCAATTAAATGGAGTTTTGTGGACCTTCTTGTCACGCAACCGTGACGTTGAGTGCGACCTAAGAAATAAGGGCAATATTTTGTAAACAATTATGGAGTTCTTCCTTTGTAAATGAATGCATCTTTATGTTCTTCTTGTGAACACTGCTCTCTTTTGTGATGCTTTTTTAATTATTCACATTTTTAATCCGGGAATTCACATGCAGTATTTATCTTCGTTTACTGAAAGTTAATGCGAAAACGAGGCTAATTAGTTGCCATAGTTACGTGTAGCTTCTCGCGCGGTTTGCACACAACAGAAAGCTGCGCCGCATTCTTCGCACAGACAGGGGCAAAATTTTCACAACGAAATGGAAGTTACAAAAGCTACTATAGGCTCTGATGCGTGGAAAAATGCAAGTATAAGAAACATAAGGCTTTCTCAGACAGTTCTCAACCGCAGCGACAAAGCCTGTGAGCTGGGACAGCAGTTAGACCCCTTGCCATCGCTAAGAGACACTAGTATACAACAGAGCAATGCCAGAATACATGCCTATGTTCGAGCGACAAGGGCCGTCTTAGTGAAGCTCCGAGAAAGTTTGTTGGACACGAATGAAGAGATAAAATCTCTGCTGAGAGGAAAGGAGGATTTAGAAAAGACCCTGGAACATATTCGGAAAGATATTATCTTAAACACACGATCTACAATGCAACGACAGACGAGACCGCCACGAGAAAAGGTAACCGAAGCCCTAACTGCTATGTAATATTTTATTTTTCTTCCGTGCGCCTTCACGATCGTTAGTCCGAGAATTCCGTTTTGAGATACTAAGGAATGTCAAACACTTAGGTTAAATTAATCTGAGCTGTATTGTGATCTGCATAAGTTCAATATATTACTCATTTCCCTAATTGATGTCTTCCTCGTCCCGTTGTTCTATTGTAATACTTTGATACTTTGAAATAAGTAAATATTCAACCTCAGTATTGCTCTTCAATGAAAGCTGATAGCTGAAAAATGCGATGTCGCTTTCCTAATAACATTTGCAAATAGTACAAACAATTTTTTTCAGTTACACTCCCTCGCTAATGAAAGAAGGAAATTAAAAAATAAAATGTCTGAATTCCTTTTTCCGTGTTTCAGTTACCATTTAACCTTCTGCTGAACATTGTGGACTTATATTGACTAACGTGTTTTCGTTCAATCAGCACATTGATTGGACAATCCAAAATGTAGAATTTTAAAAATTTACCTCATATGATTACTTTAAGAGGTAACCATGCAAAACGAATCGACAATAGTTATTTATTTTTACACAAACTTCACACGAGGATGTTAGTGTAACAATATAAGCTTGCGGGGATTGTGCAAGTGATACTGTTTTTAACTATTTCTTAAACCCAGCAGGTGTTAATGGCAGGAAAAATCTTCTGAGAGATATCGGTTGCTTATATTTGTTACAAGTTATTTTAAAATCATTCTTAGGGCTATTCCACGTGAGACATGAAAATTTGACAGATTTTCAAATTCAAAATATGAGAGCCAAACTTACTTTTAATGAAAGGTTATACATAGTTCTATAAGAATCCAAATCTAGATTGGCAGTAGTGGCCACGCCCAGGGTGTGTGACGCCATTGTTTTTGAGGGTTTTTATTAACCGAATAAGCCATTTTACATACCAATATCTAAATTGCTACATCTCAAAGAAATTGATTGCCATGAATCAGATTTTGAGATCTTAACTACCCACTAGGATGAGCCTTTCAATGCCAAAAGAAAAAAATTCTTAAACATTTAATGCCTCAGATGTACAAATTAAGACATAAAAAGTGTTGCGGACGTGACCTTCAGGGTATGATTCAGAGCAACATTTATTTAATTTCTTTGTAGGTTCTCAACTGTTTCAGGTCTTATTTATACTGCTCTTATTGTTAAGTATTATGATAATTTTGACACCCCAGCTTGCTCAAATTTGTTAACTATTTTAGAGATATCGGGTTGCGGACGTGACCATTACGGACATGAGACATTTGTAAAAACCCAGAAAACCTCAGAAAATTTTCAAACATGAGAAGATATGTTGATATTTAATGACACAAATGATAATTATAGACATATTATGATATATGTAAAGCTATCACTTTTTTTAAAATTTTCCTAAAATATATAAATGCCCTTTGACGTACAAAGTGACCTAGCTCATCAAAGTTTTTATATTTTATTTGTTATTTATTTCCCAATTTACAGATAAAAGCAATAAAAACAGCATTTTTACTTCAGTGGCATTACTCTGAATGTTATTAGTGGTGAATGAAAAGCTCTTTCTTGAACATCCCCAAAATGTCACCTCTGCAACAAATTTTGGTCATGTCCACAACACAAAATTTTTGTTCTTTATATATATTATTTGTTATTTAGTTCCCAATTTACAGATAAAAGCTATAAAAATGCATTTTTACTTCAGTGGCATATTACTCTGAACGTTATTAGGGGTGAATGAAAAGCTCTTTCCTGAACAGCCCCAAAATATCACGTCCGCAACAAATTTTGGTCACGCCCGCAACACAACATTTTTGTTAATAAATCCATGGTAACAAGTAATTTCTATAATATCTTTTCAGATTTATGAAGCACAATTACTATTGCATTTAGTTAGTATATGCAGTTTTTTTTAAAAGGTTTTCAATTCACAGGAAATTTGAAGTAACCAAAAGCAATTCAAATCAATGTTTGTTTTAGGAGTCACATCCACAACACACTTTGAAAAATTATTTTCTCTGGATATCTAAGAGATAGTCAAAATGTTTTCTGGCAAAATAAAAGGTACTTCAGGGGTAATTTTATGACATGACTCATTTCAATTCAAATAGTGTGGATCTGGCTTTAGGAGACATTTGAATACCTAAATTTTGCCTCTAAATGTCATGTCTACAACGTGGAATTGACCCTTACAAGAATGTTGAGTTAGTACGATTGTGCAAAGGGATGATACTGTAGACAAAGAGACTATCTATGACAAGCCTCATTATAGAAGGGTTGTGCTTCTATTCTAAAAGAAAATACATGAAATGTGAAGTTTACAGTTGTGCTTACAAACTGGACCCTAAACTAAAGTGAATTAGAGCATGTACTATTTGTTCTAATTAAAAGGGTTTTTTTTTTTCCCTAACATCTATGTGTTCATTGTTTTTCTCATGAAATGATGATATTTATCTGACTTTTAAAGGACTTTGATGGGGCAGATGACCTCCTTGCAGCTGAGCGCAAACATTTACTAAAGCTTAAGCGAATTCTGGAGGCCCAGCTTCGCTCCGTTCAGAAACAGCTTCAAGTACTTGATGGAGCCAGGAAAAGACTCACTGCCTCCTTACAAGAGAGATCAAGGGTACTAGACCTTATATGCCATGCTGTCTCTGCAGTTCGTGGTGCAGGCATCAAGGATCAGGCAGAAAAGCCTGTCACACCATCAGTGGAACCACTGGGTCCTTACACTCCCGAGTGTGCAAGAGTGATTTCAACTGCGGCAGAGGCACGGCAGAGGTCTACTAATTTGCGCAAGGAAGTGGCGGAAGCCATTGAGCAGACAGTTAAGCTACAGAAGGCAGCTCATCAGTCTGTGAATGATGGACTGACACAGAAAGTTGCTGAGACAGTTACCATGAAGGTTGGTTGTAAAAAAGATGAGCAGTATCCCAGTTTAAATCTATGTAATAAGCATTCTATGGTTAAGGTAGGCTCTTAAATCAGAAGGTGTTTGCCTATGAGGAAATGGAAATGAGAACTGCATCTATATTCAAAATCTTAAAATGTATTTAAAGCACTGAAATAACTCAGCCCACACTTGAGACAATAACCTTAATATTGTCTTTGTTGTTGCCAAGATAACTAGTACAAATAACTTGTGAATTCAAAAATCACTGGAATCCTGGTTCATTATGAATACTGGTGGAGCAAACAATAATTACGTGTAGCTGTTGCTTAATGATATTACATTTTTTTAATACAGTCTGTATTAATTTTCTGCTCTTTATTATTTGATCAATTTCCAATTTGTTTGTATGTTTACTCTCTAATGATCTTAGCTGGCCTAAAATATTTTTGATAAGACAAAACTTTTGTCCAATAGTTGTATTTAGTTTTAAAATTTTTTTTTTCATGATAACAGCAACATCTTTTGGTTGGTGCGGGTGAAACTCGTATGGCTATTCATCGAAGTCATCGCTGGTATGATGCCACAGAAATGGCACTTGGATATACACTGGTATGCCAGATTTAATAAAGCTTAACTTAAATAGAATTATTGCATTATAATTGTGTTAGCTGTAAGATACTGTATGATTTATGCACACCATGAACAGTTAGCTTAGGGCCACTTACAAAATCATTCATACATGTCCTTTTTTTCTCCTTCCCCATCCCATCACGGTAATAGCTGTTACTTTTAAGAAATGGTCTGCAATTTTTCAAAGCTTAGAGTCAATGGCTTACAAACCTGATCTTAGTTCCCAATCATTGGTTTTGAAAGCCGTGGTCATCAACAGCAAAACAAAATGAAGATGTCTTTATTTTTTGTATGAAACTTAGGATCCTGGAAAGACCACTTGTTTGAACCTGCCTTAACTCATACTACTTCACTTGTGTCAAGCTGATGTTTCCTTTTATTACAGGGACCTGTTGCCTATTCTGATCTTACCACTCGTGAACGTTTGGACCGCCCAGCAGCGCAAGTCTACCAACGTCATCCTGGTAACCAACTGCCTGAAGCACGTGAGATTGTCAAGGGAGGACAGGGTCTGCAGGAGTCTTTGAATGCCACAGCTCGCAATGTTGGTCTCTTGAGACTTACCAAGAAGAGGGTTGATGATGATGCAAGGGATAAACATCATGCTGCCTTGATTGATGCTAGCATCACCCGCACACGCAGACGTTTAGGAAATCACCGTTGGGTGATCAATGGTGTTGGATGTTAACTCCTGGTGGCCAAATTTAGTCTCTGTATAGAAAACTTTGTGGTTGGGATTGACAACAAGCTTTTTACTGGTTACTAAATTAAATCCAATTATCTCCTAAAACAACTTTTGTCTCTACTGAAACTTTTCCCCTACTGATTTTACTATGAAAATACCTTTTTCACTGCAGTGATTAAACGCGTGGTTAAGTTGGTTTGATTTGCAAGAAATATTAATAATATATATGAATAAGAATTCATTGGAAATTTATCTTGAAATTTGGCATTCAATGTTTGGTTGCACTATGAATAAGCTGAATGAGATGTAACCAGATTTATCACCCTTACCATTATTGGCATGGAAATGTGACTATTAAGGAAATAAATATGTTTCCTTTAAGGCTTGATTTGTAAATAATATTCACCGAGTGTCTCTAAGATTAGTTATTTATGATGATGATGGTTGACAAAGTACCACATATCAGATTAGTTTATTCCAATTTACACTTTAAGGGCTAATATGAAATAACTAATTTCCAATTGATGCCTCTTCGGTGGGGGGGGAGGTGAGGCTGCTAGAGTAAAAGTAATTTATCTAGCTGTAGATAATCTTACAACTTGATTTATCTCAACAACACTACTTTTGGTTTGCCTGGTGTAGTAAGAAAATGATACTGATGAGAGTGAAACTGTGTCAATAAAATTTGTTCTTAGTGAGTTTTGTTGTCAGTGAGTTACCTGCACTGTTATTTTGGGGAAATATGTTTGCACTCAAAGCCAACCCCATTATGTGGCTTGGTACTAATTATCAGAGGGGAACATCCACTAAAAACTGATGATGGTAGAGTAAAGGAGATAGCTCGTGATAATAAGGTGTTTAACAAACTTTATCTCTGAGCGCTTTGGGTATAATTGTCTTAAAAATAAGTACATAGAATGAGTGAGCTACTGAGGTTATTATCAGCACAACATTGACAAGAAACAGTGAGATTCTAATTTCCAACATGAAATTAAGGATCTAGTGAAAACCTATTGCTTGGACCTCATTTAGCACGATTTGAAAACAGCTCATTAAACCACAAAATAGAACAATTAATATTTTGACCTATTAGTTACAATGTGTAACTTACAACCCCACTCAACATTGCCACGTGGTAAATAGAGCTCAAAAACAGGAGAAACCTTAGTATTTCACCATCCTCTTACTACTGAAGAGATTCTATATTTGAAGCCATTTTTCCAACCCAATTCAATACCCCTGAGTCAGAAGGGGACGACACTCCCTGACTATGTGACTGGGCGTGTACTGTTGGGTTCTGACACCCTTTTGCCTTTCTTGAACTTGTCTCTTTTTAGACTACAAGCATAAACATCCAACCCAAAAGCAGGAATGATGTTTTAAAGTTAAAGAAATCCTTTCATAGCACAGTCTTGACAAATAGCCTCGATATCCGTACATTGCCGAGCAGAAAGGCGAAAACATCAAGTGAACTTTGTTTGATTTGAATTCCAAATCTTAGCGAAAGAGTTTTAAGAAATGAGAATAAAGAGAACATAAATCGAGATCTTGGGAGTGAAAGAGTCAAATCTGAACTGATAACTATCAGAGAAATTCGATAATATCTGAATTTTTTAAAATTATTTTGTTACGAAAAGAGCTCTACCTCCAGTTCGGCCGGGACTCGCAGTTCTGCTCAATTCGTTGGCTGCTGCTTACTCTTGATATAGTATTTTTGCAGTTGAGGGCGAAGTTCCAGAATCTTTTGTTTCGTGTCTTGCGAAATGTAACACTGAAACACAAATAGCTCTTTTAGTCTCTCACACCTCGTGACAAGGTATAACAACGCCTTTTCGAGTTCCTCGCTGCTTGTAGTGCTAATCGATAAATTTTCCAAAGTTTTACTGTAGTTCATCGCAGCAAAATACACTTGGTCAATAACTTCGGACATGACTTCCAGGCGAAGATTTTTCACCGGAACTTCGGGCTTTAAAATCATATCTACCTTGTACATCGGACAGGAAGTGTCGAAAGCTAGCGTGACACGCAAGTTCGGAATCTTCCTCCTAACGACTTCCCACGTTTCTGATGTTATGTCTTTTCCAAATTTTTCCTCTCGTCTACAGTCGATAGAGAGGTGACTGAGGGGAGCCCGGTTCTCTTCAGTGAGAGATAACAATATTTCTTCCGTGACGCTGGTATGATGAAGCGCGAGGGACTTTATCTTCCGACACCTCTTAAGAACATTCTCTATACAACCGGAAGTGACTTTGCAAACAAGAGCCGCATTTTGAATATTCAGTGACTCTAAGTCGCGATTATTTTCCACCAAGCAGTTAATTAAATTGTCGCTGTAGGCGATCGGAAGTTTGCTTAGATCCACGGACTTCAAAGTCGAGAGCACTTTGACATCCTCGCTGGGTTTGTCGAACAAAACTCGTAAACACTCGATGAATTCTTGTCCTGCGTAGAACAAAGGATTCTCTCCCAGAAACTTGACAGTAAACCTTTCGAGCCTTCGCTCTTTCATGCCGCTTAACATAAGGATAAGTGTACAAGCACTTTCTCTGTTGATTTTATCCTCTTGCTTACAATGAATCTCCACGGTTCTTAGATAATGACCATGGTTCTCCAGGCATTTTGTATACTTGAACTCCTTTAAATCAAAGAATTTGAAATGGAACGTATGCCATAACACCGGCGAACCGAAACATTCTCGCCACTGTTTACACGCGAGCGAAGCGGTTAACCTGTCGGAAAGTCCCAGAAAAGACAAGATCCCTACTACTATGTGATCGGGAAGATTTTCCCATTTCTTCTCATCCATCGATCAAACTCGGGCGACAAACAGCTGAATCGCCTGATGTATGCGGCGTTGTTGTTTGAACAAATATCGAAATTTGCAGAGGGTTATAAATATTCAAGTCGCTGTGACCTCCACAGGAAACCCAGTAAGTAGGACATATGTTAAATATTCCTTCATCACGACGAAAGTACAAACAAAGGCAAATATCAAGTACAACACACCAAAATGTAACCATAAAAATTTAAATTTTTAATATTTCATTTATGTAGCTTAGAGTCCCAACTAGCCGACAGATCTGTGACGAGCAACCAGACAAGCGAACTGAAGTAGGGTGACCTCAGTGACAAGATTCAGTCCCCAGAAGGTCGCATCTCTTAAAATCCAAGTAACTAGGACAACCTTGGGATATATAAATCTAAAGAATAATAGAGCCCGTCTTTACTCATCAGCCAGTATTCTGTTTCGATACAATGCAATTTCATTTCTTAAATATCAAAACTTTTTATAAACATTTTGATCTTGAAATAAACAACAACAAGAAATCCCCAGCTTTTTTAGGACCGTTAGCAACCGCGAGAAGCTAGAAGCAAGCCCCTACAAGTCTTCTGACGCGTTATCCATCGTTTGCCCGAGTTTTCGATCAACTTCGTTCCCACGGAGTTTCTCTTGGAATCATGGGGGCTGGCCTGACCCTAAACAGATCACTTTGTAGATCACATTGCGAAAACCTTTGCATGAAAATAAAATTAACGAGACGCAGGATTTTCCCTTTTTGTCGGTTTAAGGCGAATTCCCAAAGCATGACTAAGTGTGAAGTTTCGCTTCCATGTATTGTTTGTGCAGTAATGTCTAAATGCTCTCTCTGAGGGCCTGATTATATGAGCCGGGCTGGCCCTGTTAGCCAGGCTGATTTCTTTTGTTTTGGTGTTCGCCGAAGCGTGAAAACAAAAGAAATCAGCCCGGCTAACCGGGCCAGCTCGGCTCATGTAATCAGGGCCTCAGTCTGGATACTTTCGCCTCTTCCATGAAAAAAATAGGAAATATGAAAGTGATAACTCTACGAAGCCAATAACTTCCAAGTATTTTGTACACTTCTCTATTAAGGGTGCAATAACCACGATTTGTTGAGTTTCTCACTAAATCAGTGCATTGACACATTTCCAGTCTGAAAATATTAATATAAAAACCTGTATGAAGTTTACGATACATTTTCCCGATACGATGATACAAAATCATTGAACAACCCAATGGAAAAATGACTTTTTTCTGCGTTTGTTTCTTAATTAGAAACGAAAGAGTGTCCTAAAGTTTCAGTGACAAAACCAGTCAAAAGTGTGCGGATCAACTCTTCGCTTTTGGCTCTCATACCCATTTAAAACTCTCTAACTAATCCTTTATAAAGAAACGTCCTTATCGAGCTCCAATACTAAGTAAGATTGATGCCGCAGCGCATCTTTTTCCACTTGTCCATTAAGCTTGTCGACGAGATTTTGCAAAAGGATCTTTTTGCGCTGAAGTTTCTCTTGAGAACGCGACGCTGCCTTGAGCTTTCCCTCTAGATTCAGGTTTTGCTGTGTAAGATCGTTGTTTTCACCATATAATCTGTGTATTATTTTCTCGCAAGTTTTCAACTGATTATCTGCAGTTTCCATCTGCGGAATAACAATTTAAAAAAATTTATGTGAACACATTTTAAAGTGTCAATGACTATGACGACTTTGACGATAAGACGTACTCATTACAACGATCACGATCACGATCACAATAAGGATCACGACACGATCAGAGTTATAATCGATAATCGGTTATTCTTCTTTTTCTTGTGATAGAGATCTTGATTAGATTTTTGGTTGTCTATGATGTGTAAATGATCTTACCTGTGCTTTCAATTGGATTGCGTAATCCTGAGCTATAGTGCCATCGATTTTAGAAGAATATCTTTCTTTATCCAGCTTCACCGAGACAGGGGTCACAAATTCTTTAGTGTTTTTGTGATCAAACTCCGCCTGTGGAAAAAGGTACCACAAAGGCATAAAAAAAAACAACAACAACAACACATGAAAATGAAATAAATTCCTGGTCTGCGTGACATACATCCCTTTGAAACGCGTGACATTTGAAGGTGATCTTGGTACCAGGATAACTCTGCCTTCTAAAATCCGGAACCTTTTGAAGGTGAGTGTCCTGCCTTTGCCGCAACAAGGCGGCCGAAGCAGACCTCGCATGGAAGGATTTTTTTAATCTTCGTGGCAAAGGACAGTCCATTCGTTTATTCTGAGACAGAATTTCTCTCAAACTCTCAAGTTTTCTGATGTTTGAGAAAGAGAATGTGAAAGGAGGCTGAATTGAATGCAAGAAGGAAGAGGATATTTCGCACAATGACAAGGAAAATTCTTCTGAAGTTAGTGTGTTGACTACAAATATTCTTGGTCCATTTTATTAGTTTGATTGAATGATTTACGTTCAGAAATCTCTTCCGCGAGCTATCTACTTTCTTTATTTAAATGATAAGCTTTTCTTTGATACGCATAAGAATCACGACAAATTGTTTTACACAATAATAAGTAAGCTCTTCAGATCATGCTTCATTTGTACTGCTGCTGACGCTCAGCACAATTTCCAAGCATGAAGCATCCAGAGATGTCGCTAGCGACTGCTCAGTTCTCTAAGTGATGTAAGCTTATCTAGTTTCCTCGGCATTTTCCCAGGTTTTCCCCTTTAGTTACTTTTCAAAGCAGTCATTTCACAAGCTTGTGATCTTATCCAGATCTTATCACAATGACCTAATGGGGTGCTTGGGTGTTTCTGTGATGAGGAGGTATAAGAAAACTCCTCCCCCCCACAAAAAAACAACTCTTAAAGCTTTCATTGAGCTTTTAAAGTATCCCTTCAATGTAAATTAACAAAAAAAATACTTTCTAACCCTGAAAGCTTTGATAAATCATGAACCCAAATGAACCATAACCTGAAAGTGTGTGCTGAATTTTTGGTACCTTTTCTTTTAGGTTTGAAATTTGCCTTTCAATTTCTTCCATAATTTCCTTGCTGCTATGTTCACCAGTCATGAGGAAATAAGAGAGCCTCTGATAAAACACTTGGAGGGTGTCATCCTGTCTGTCACCTTGGAAACCATGAAATGACTGGCTCTGTGGCAAGATGGAAATTTTAAGGTGAATGTTAGTATATGTATTCTTAAAATTATTCCCAATAAGTTATACCTGATGTTAGATGGTTTGTGAAAAACAGAGCTGATTCCTAGCAGAATGTGGATGTCACAGGTAACCAACTTTTTTGCTTAGGCAACTTGCCTAATTTTTCTCTTATGAGAGCTTCTAAGAGCTGGGCACTCCAAACTTTTGGGCATTAGCCCTCAGGCACTAAGGATTTCTCGAGTAAGACAGCATTAAAGTAACAAATTTTCATAGTTTGATCATGAAACCCACAGTTAAAATTTGCAAGAAGTGGGGAATATTGACTATTGTGTCATAGAGAAGTATATTTTAATTCAAGATCTATTAGGCTATTTTTGCATCAATTTAAGGACTACAAATACTTTCCAATTCACAATCCTTGAAAATAAGATTAAACTCATTTCCATGATGGAAGATAACTTGTATACAGTAGACTTGATAATTTTCCATTCCGTATTTCACCTCAAGCTCTATTGGAGACTACATGGATATTTTTGTATCATTTAATGGACTTCAAATACTCTCCCATTTTCAATCCAGAATTATGTGAATGTCTTCACTTCTGTTCACTTCGAAAATTTTTAATAACAGAACTTAGAACTTGGCATTCCATAAAAACAGTACCCACAACAGGTGTACATGTAATTTAACAAAATAAATGTCTTCCCATAGAATTTGAACAAGAGAAAATATACTGAATTCTGTTAAATGTGATAATTAGTGATCAACTAATTGTACCTTTTCACTTAAAGTGCTTATTTCCCGTCGGTGGGCTATTTCCTGAAGCTCCACTTTTTGTTTCATGTTTTCAAGCTGCCACTCTAGTAGACCCACTTTCTGTTCTAATTCAAGCTTTTGCTGTTGTAGTTGTCGAATTTGATCCTGGTATTCTTGAATTAAAGTATCTTTCTCATCCTAAACATTTAAAGGGAGGAATTATTAATTCATTCAGAAGTTTTCTTAGGGTCAGACTTGAGGATCTATCTAATTAACAGCAGCTTTTTTAGGCTTCTATATTAATTAAGAGCAAATTTTGCCTAAGTGAATAATAACTTGTTTTCATTTAACAAGACTTGTGAAAGACTTCTGCTCCTGCAAAAGATGACAATTGAGTGCTGAACTTGTTGGCAACTGCTTGGTTGATTCTCAGATGTTTAAAATTGAATAATTCTCAGAATTTATATCTTGAAACTACTTAGGATATTTAAGTGCAGTAATTGTTAAAGTGTATTATCAGGGTAAGATTTTGTCGTGTGAGCTTTGTCACCACCAGTCAAGACCGTGTGAATTTATAATCCCTTGAAACAAAATAGGTATTTGCAAATGAGACATGCACTAATTCCTGGTCAAATTTAGAATGTAGAGTGTCAAGGATAGAGCGTGGAGAAAAACCTTACAGCAAAGATGAGGACCAATAACATACCTAACTCACGGCTTAATAACCTAGCCCACAGTTAAACAAACTTAACCCAAAGTAGACGCCTTCAGCTGTCATGCAGGGTCGATCCTTATGCCCATACATGTGTTAGTATATATGGCTCAGTCTGTTACCTCGGTCGTAGATCTTGTGGTGTTACGACACAGATCAGTGTCAACTTCAACAGTATGTACGTTTATCAGCTTTACATCCAAATCAGCTGTAGCGTATCCTCGATGCACTGTTTCCAGAACAGTTCGTCTGTTCTCCAGACTTGTCACTTCTGCCTGCAGTCTCGTCAGCTGTATTCTCATATCATAGAGTTGGCTTTCTAACTCGTTCCTCTCCCGTCTCAAGGAGACCACGGTGTTGTCTTCCTTGATGGAGTCTTCGTGGAGTGTAGAACTGTTTGGATTTGTCGACAGAGTCTCCGATGGAAGACCACGTTGTGGGTGATTGATGTGGAAATATGAATTATTGATGGAAGTACTGGAATTATTAGAGGTCATCTGATAACTATCTGATGATGAGAATTGAGTTCTTTGATGTGATACCTGCTGTTGCGAAGTATGATAGTTTTGTGAATTTTCAACCTCACTTTTGACGTCGTGGTCCGTAGAAAATCTATGATTATCCGGTTGGCGATCGCTTGTGATAGCCACCTCTACTTCTGTTCGATCTGGTGCGTTTCTCAGTTCTTGTCTCTCGCATCTCGAATACAGCCCATCCATTTCAAGACCCTGTTTTTTAATTTCCACATCGTAAATGTACATCTCCATGTCTGATTTCTGCTGTCGAAGCTTCAGTAAGTCGTCTTCTTCGTTGGTTTTGAGAGTTTGGATCTTTGAAATTTCTGACCGCAGATCTTGTTTTTGTTTTAGCCAGTCTTTTAGTTCTTCCTGAAAATAATGAAATTCGATATTCTTATCATCCTCGCCTTAAGCCACAACTTAACTTTTAGAAAAAAAACACAATTTGGGTTTCCTGAGCTGTTGTCATATATTTCAAAGAATCGCAAGGGGCCGAGTGTCTAGGGCCAAATATTGGAAAATTTACAGAGGGGTGTGGCTTGCTTATGCTTACTGGCAAAGAGTGGACGTTTGGTGTCCATTAGCACAACGGAGAATGAACTCTTTTAGATTGGCCATATCTGACAAATCAAAAGCATCCAAAAAATTGGATCATGAGTCCATGATAATTTGTGAAATATCGCTGAATTCCCGTTCCACTCCATACAAATTGAAATTTAAACTATGAAAAAGGTTAACAAGAAAGACAAGCTCCCTTTATTTTTCTCACCTGTGTAGTGAGAACGTCATTAGCCTTTGATCCCAAATACCCTTCTTTAGTATACGTTCCATGCGTTGGCCCGTGCTCTTGATCTTGTGCGTTAGGTTCCGTCCTCAACACGGACAACTGAAACTCAATTTCGGACTTTTCTCTGCGAAGCTGTTGCGTCTCTCTTTCCTCTTGATCTCTTGTCGCTTTAATCTTTACTATCTCTGATTGCAAATCTTTTTTTCGCCTCACCAAAGTTTCTAGATTAGTAGTTATGTCCTGGACATTTGTCTGCAGTCCATTTGTTGCAATGGTCTTTCTTCTCCATGCATCGTCGCCTACTGAAATATTCGTCTCAAGTTGCTGTTGCTGGCTTTGTAAAGTAAATACATCTCTCTCCAATTCAGCTTTTTCCCTGCGTAGTCTATCAACCTCGCTCTCATTCTTGTCTCGTTCATCTTTCATCACGGAGCATTCAGCTCTCAGCCGTGTGATTTGGCTTTCTAGTGCTGTGACTTGTAGCTCCAGATCCTTCTTCTCTTTTCGTAAATTATTGACGTCATTCTCCCCTTGCCTTGCAGCCTCCTGAACCACAATGATGCCAGCTTCCACTTCGGCCTTATTTCTTTTCGATAGAGTTATTTCTTTCTCTAGCTCCTTGCGAATCTTAGTTAGCTCTGAAACTTCTTTCTCGTCAGTGCGTATGGCTTCTTTAGAGAAGTAAAGATTATTTGTGACTGTTTCTGATTGAAGCTGCACGAGTTGCATTTTCAAGTCATCCCTCTCTTGTTGCAGGTCAGTAATCTTTTGATCTATGTTGTTGCCTTCCTGAGCTCTATCAGTCTTGGATCGAGGGATTCCAGAAGGCACTTTTCTCCTCCCATCTACTTCTCGTTTGTCTTTCTTAATAACGTCAATCGTTTTTTGAATGTTTTGTCTCTCGTGGTTCAATGCTTTGATTTCCAGCTCCATCTTTGCCTTGTCATCCTTTAACTCGTTCAGTCTCCCTTCCAAACTTGACGCCTCTATCTGATACTGGGAAACCTCACTTTCTAGTTTATCTTGTTCTTTCTTTAAGGAGGATATCATCCTCTCTAAGTCGTCTTTTTGTCTGTGTAACACCCAACTGTTCTCTTTGGTATCTTCCTGTAAAGAGCTTTCGTTAGGCTGATGCAGTACACTTCTTCGGTACTCCAGCTTTACTTTTAAATCCTTCTCAAGGTCAGACTTTTCCTGGCTTAATCTTCCAATGGCGCTCTCTAAGTCATTTTGTTGCCTTAGCAAGTCCGACACTTTCTTTTGCAATTTACCAGCGTCTCCATTAAGATCAGAACCACGGTCATCATTATTTGAGTTAAAGCTGTCATGCGACTGAAACGAAATCTCTCTCGTAGCGCTCGGCATTATTTTATCTTGCGTAACGTGATCGCGATCGCGGTGCACGGTACGGGATTTCTCTTGTTCATCGCTGAACTGTCTGTGAACCTCAATCTCCATCGTCGAGTTATTTCGTTTTAGGATAGAGATCTCATGTTCAAGTTCTGCCTTTTCTCTTTTTATCATGGACATGGTGTCTTCGACCTCCCCTTGCTTTCTCTTTAGATTGGTTAAAAGGTCTTCAAGATCTGCTTTGTCTCTTTTCAGTGATGCCAGTTGATTATCAGATTCAGCTTTGTCTCGTTTCAAAGCAGAGATTTCATCTTCAACATCCAACTTTTTGCGCCTCAGTGTTGCAATTTCATCCTCTAGTTCTTCATTTTTGCGCTGTATGGACGACAGTCGACTCTCAAGATCATACTTGTCTCTCTGCAATGAGCTTACCTCGCCTTCCTTTCTTCTCAAACTTTCCTCTAAAGAAGCTTTTCCACTTTCATTGCTTCCGAATTTCGCGTCAAACAGCTCGGTCGAGTTAGGCAATCGCCGCTTTAAACTGGCTATCTCGTCTTGCAGGTCATTCGTTTCACGTCTCATGGCCGACAGACTTAATTCGTGTTTCTGATTCTCGTACTTAACAGCAGCCAGTTCATTGTCCTTTTCACGGATTATTTCCTTCAGTTTAGCGCTACCGGCGTCCCAGCCCTCTGCGTTCGAAATCCGTCCATCGTTCATATCCGTCAAACGTACCTCCTTGCTCCTCAGATTTTCTTCAAGCCTTGCCCGGTCTCGTATCAACATATCTCGTTCCTGGGTCAGTGCTGACATCTGCTGCTCAAGATGATCGCAATTAGCTTTAAGTAACATTGCCCTTCTTTCGTTCTGCTGGAAGATATCGCCCTGAGACGACTTTTCCAGCATCAACTTCTGTGATAATTCATTTTCAATTCGAATACGCACCTCCTCCGTTTCGATATTAATCTTTCGTCGCATATCTTCCCTCTCCATCTCCAACTGCCTTCGAAGTTCTTCTCGCCTCTCGGCGTATGTGATTTCCATCTGCGCATTCTCTTGCTTTAGAAGCGTGATTTCCTCGCTCATTTCTTGAATCGTTTCTTCTAATCCCCCCTTTTCTCTGACAAGTCCAAGCTGGTATCTCTCTTCAAGTTTCAGTTTCAACGCTCGTTTTTCTTCCGAGTACCTCTGCTCTATTTCCGATATTTCCTCTTCGAACCTTTCTTCAAGCTTTCGTCGTTCTTCTTTACCCTTCTTCTCCATATCTTTTCTTTCTTTCTCCATGAATTCCAAGTCTTCCTTCAGCTTAACGTTGATGTTTTTGAGAAGTGAAGTTTCATTTTCAAGACGCATCATAAACTCTGCCTCGAAATTAGCCTTTAAGGAGCTTCTCTGCTCTAGAAAAGCTTGCTCCATTTCTTTGATCTCTCTCTCGAACTTGGTCATAATTATTTCTTTTTCTTGACTCAAATTATCGTTCAGCTCCTTTAGCTGTAACGTTAACTTCGAAATATCGGTCTGTAGGTCGGAAATGTTTTCTTCGTACTTCTCTCTTTGTTTCTCTAGGTCACTACAATGCTTTTCGTCCATTTTTCGTCGCGTATCTTGAAGCATCTGCAAGTACTTTTTCTCGATTTCGTTTTTATCCCTTTCCGAATTCATTTCCCATCTCTCCTTCTCGTGTCGGAGGTAGTTTTCAGCTTCTCTCTTTTGCCAATGTAACTCAGAAATAGTTGTCTTCATCTCGGCTATAGTTGCCTCGTATTTCATTTTTTCCTGTTGCAACTGACGTTGATATTCCTCCTCCAGTTTTCGCTTAAGCTCACGTTTTTCTAATTGGAAGTTCCTCTCAATTGACTCCCTTTCCCTCTCATATTTATCCTCCAAGTCTAACTCTGGATGTATCTGGCTGGTCAAAGGACCGTTATTTATTCGTAGATATACCTCCGCGATTTCGCGTATTAAATTGGAATCCACTTCATAAATATCATGGCCCCCACTAGACACAGGTTGAAAGCTTCCCAACCGCTGTGCGCCTGCTAAACTCTCCGCGCCGGAAAACAAACGAATTTGACCGGTGTCGTGAGAAACTGTATCCGAGGCGGCGAAAGCGACACCGTTCGCTACGGATTCTGTTATTCTTGAAGCCTCCATCATTTGGTCCTTGTCCATTTCCAGCTGATGCAGAAGTTGTCTTCTTTCCAGATCAAAACTGTTTTTCATCCGACGTATTTCCTCCTCATGGCTCTGGGCCAAAATGTCTTTCTCAATGATAAATCCTCTCACTATGTCCTCTATTTCGTGTCGATAATTCTCTTGCGTGTGTGTTTCATGGCTATCAGTTGTCGTTTCTAGTTGAACTTCCGGATTTTCTACACTCTGATGTGAACTCTCCATCGTGTTCGTCTTTACCCCATAGCATCTACGCAAAAATGAGAAAATAGATTTTAAATATTCAGTGGCATCTTCGTACCACAGCCACGATGAATGTGTAGTGTTCCATGCAAAGTTTCAATCAGAGCAGCAAAATACAATTAGGTCAACTGTGCAAACTCTAAAATACCATATATGGGAGAATACTATTGTTTTTTTAAGGCTGTTTTATCCTCGCATGATATCCATATGCTTGCACCGCTCTTTACCTATGTAAATTTTTTTTCGCATTTTGGCGTTTGTATATCATTGTTAAGAGGCTATTCGGTCACTATGGAAACATTAACCTGTAATTATAATAATCCTTTTGATACTGAACCGAATTGGAAAAGATTTCCCTAACTTATGTTAATGCGCGCTCTAAAGGAGTTACCGTGAAACAATATTGCAACACACGTATTTATGATAAGTCATTTTCTTGATACAATGATTCTTTTTATTCCCCACGCCACTGACTAGAAATGTGTTTTTCGTTTGATTGCCTTTAATTTCACATCGTTGCGCTAAAATTTAAACTTTTAATCAATTTCCTCGCGATTTTTGGAAATTATGCGAAGTCTCACTCACCTAGATTATTTAAAACGATTTGGTATTCATCATTTTTGCCGTGCAGCCGAAGGTTTAGTAAAATTTGAATAATTATTATTTTCAATTATCTAAAATGATATGACGATTAAACAGCGTATAAATCAAAACGTGCTTCTATAAACAAAGGAGCACTGACAACAGGACTGAGATCTGAGTTTGTTATTCTCCAGTGGATATCAAAATTTACAAGGATGAAGAAGAAAAGAATTGGTCATGTCCCAATCTAAAATGGTGACTGTAAGTAGTTTTCCTTATAAAATGCCATGCTTTTTTATGGTAGGTGGACACCAGCGTCAGAGGCAAATCACAGTACGACACTTACGGAGCCTTAGTGATATTTGAACTGATTCTTTAAAAAATGTGTGTGATCGAAATCATTTAATAAGAGTTTGGAAAATATTTAAATTTTAATTGGTCAGTTTTATTGGATAAATGAATAGACATTGTGATTTTCAACCCAGGAAGATATTTTCCTTGCAGCGGTTGACAGAAATCTACTGTTTCAAAATGAAAATAATTATTTTCTTTTTAAACAAGAAGTCGCGATCAAGAGCTTCGGAGTTTAAATGTCCTATGGTAATGTTTCGTGTCAAAAAGACGTATCTATTAACACCAGGATTCGAAAAACAACAAAGAAGATCTTCATAAACGAAAAGGTGAGATTGTTTCGAAACACATTCTCTTCGTAACTGATTGTTTTCTCGGAGAATTTTTTCACGGTAGCTTAGCATTATTTGCTGAGGATGCACTAATTATGATTGGACATCTGTATATAGCATGTACGCCTGTAGTGTTTTGAATGGTTTTTCAGACAATTCATGGCTATAGTATCTAAGGGAGATTGTAATAAGAGAGGGGAGGGTGAAGGTTATAATATTGCCCTAGCGAAAGGAACCCTTATTAATTATTGACGCGCAAGTCTTGCCATCACATCCGTTTACAGAGAGAGCGATGGATTATCTCCTGACTTTACTCCTAATTTTTAGTTACAGCAACCCTAAGAAAATCATGAACTTTGTAAAAGAAATATAAATTTACTCCTAATAATACTTATTTAAAATAATAGTCTTAGAGCCATAAACAAGTTTACCGAAAAGGTAAGATCATACCGAGCTGAGTACAAGATGTCACTAGACTACTGTTGTTTATCAGTTACATAGAAACGTTAAGCAAACGAACTTGATACAGTAAAATTGTTTTAGTTGATTGGCTGGAATAAGATGGTATCTATCTCATTCACAACATTTGCTCTGGCTGTTTAACCACTAAAATGTGCCTTTTCAGATGAACGACATCAAAACTTAGTACTCATGGTAATATGTTGTGATATGGATGGCGAAAAGCTTTTGTGAAAGCCCGACCTGGTTAAATTTATTTTTCCGTCTCAGTAGTGTTTATATCGTTTATTTTCCAGTCATTCTCTCGAATGATTTATCTGTGTTGTGTCGCTAATGGTTCGCCAGTGCGGTTTAGTTGGTGTCAAACAAAGTAAACCATGCATTGGCGTCGCAGTCGACCACAGCGTCTGTTTATTATTTGGGACCATTCTGCTCTTCAATAAAGAGTAGGAATCATTCTCCAATCGGGAAAATTAAACATTTTCGTTCTGTTGTTATTTACCAGAGTAAGGATATTGATTCGGTCAGAGAAGAGAATTTTGTATTGTGAGATTTATCTGTATTCCTGTAACAAATGCACTATTAAAGGAATTTTACAGTTTCTTTAGCCGTTTCATGTCTGCACTACTTTCGTGGAAAAGCGCAACTTTGTTTTACATGAGCTTTTAACGGAAACAAATGAATGTTTCACTCAAGTGTGTGTCTGTCTTGTGTTGCTAGGTTCATCATTTAGATGATGTGTATGCGTCCAACAAGACAGAAATGTGAATTTTTTTCAGTGGTAGATAGCCAGCTTCCCTTCCCACAGAGAGATGAGAATGGGAACTTATTGATTGTGCAGAAACGCTTTCAAATGCGGTAATGATGGGTGAAGAAAAATCGTTAGGTAGCTACAATAGAATGCCAAAATGAATGTTATCATCCTTTACTTACTTGTCTCGCTGCAACTCCAACTCGTTTTGTTAATAACAATTCTTTCGCAGCAATTTAAAACAGTAAACCATTTAAAAATGCAAACCGAAAGACACATTCTTTTTTATTTTGTATTCGATATTTCCCTTATTGACCTATAAGTTGGGAAATATCTGTTGAATAGCAGGTGGCAAGCTGCAGACCAATGTTATTGGCCCGCTCAAAACCCCAAATATTCCATGAATATTTCTGATCAGCGTCATCGAGCAGAAACGCTTTGGATCGGGTTGTGACTATTGAAATACACAAAGCTCAGAAAGATGTGTGACAAAACTTATCAGTAATAATTTGTGACAAAGTTAATATAAATGCATGCATGCTATTCGCGCAAAAACGATTCCACCTTAAAACGCTTTAAAATTTTGTCTAGGGCCATAACGAATGGAAAGAATACTTAGCTATTTGACTCTAGTCGCAATTAGTGCTTCTACAAGATTACTGGGTAGATATGCCGAGATTAAGTGTATTCATAAATGATTTTCTCTGCCAAAATGTGCGTTTTGCTTGCAGAAAGCTGTCCAGGTTTTCGTTTGTGCGCTTAACAGCAATTATTGAGGGATTAATGTTTGCAGCGTTGCTAACAGCGGCCAAATCTAGCTCAACACGAAATAAAGGCACACATTACTTTTTAAGATTCCTATTGTACCTTAGAAATTCAATCGCAATTGCTCCTAGTTTATTTTGTAAATATGCTTGAATTAGTAAATGATGGCACGTACTAAAGTATATAAAGAAAGAGAATGATAGCACAAAGGGGAGAGTAATTGTATTTATCTTTGGTAGGATTCCCTAAGTAATGGATGTAAAATCTACCGTTAGGGTTTAACTTATTTAATGTTCCAATTCTTTCTTTACGATTATCAGGTTTCTTACATCTCCTTACACAAGTGCGCCCCCTTTGATTCAATTGCCATCTCTTTTAAATCACATTTATTTGATAGCCAAAAATACGGATGACGAGGGTAAAATAGAAATCATCGAGTGGGGAATCAAACAGGTTACATCATATTTACGAAATGTAATCCTAAATTTGTTAGCTTTTGAAATGATCTTGAACAGAAATGTGGAGAAAAATAATAACGCCATGCTTAAAAGGCATAAACTAAGATGCACAAACTGATCTTTCACTGAGCGTCCAGCTCATCGTATCATGCTTCCACAATATGTAAGAGAAGTGCAGGAAAAACAGGAACTCACATGATGAAAACAGCAAATAACTAGATCAGCAAGAATTTATTCCTCCTTGAGACAAAATACACTGTATTAACTCGCCCTAAGATATACTTCTCTTACAATTCTTAGTTTACTACAAAATGATCATCTTATATAATGGTTCTATTCATACCAAACGATTCCGAAAGAATCTTTTAAAACAGCTTCTGAATATTGTGCAGAGCATTGTACGTGTAGATGCATTCGTATGCAGTAACACGTCTGCGTGGATCTCCTACATTGTGTCCTTGGATCAGGCAATCCATGTCTTTTTTTGTTATGATTTTTTAGGTTTTTTTTTTTTTAGGTATTTTTATTTTCCTTCATCACTTAAAATTGACTACTTGCTGCTACCAATACTTTTTCGTCTAGGAAAAGAAAACTTATTACGAATACCTGTCTATAGAAAAAGGTTTCAGTTTGTACAGCTTCTAAAAGTTTAAACCTATGAGATTGTCTCCATTGTTGACCAGTGTAATACCTAAAGGCAGGCTTAAAAAAATGAACATAATGTTCCCTTTGTAGCGTTCCTCATTCATTTCTGTTTGTGTCTATTAAGGAATTTTGTCCAAACAAGCAATTCATAACCTTTTACCAATGGGGTATAGAGGCCAACAAATAATCACTCAAGTACTGTCAAGTACGTTACACTTTTCTACAGTTCCCCAGTCGAAGACAACAGGTCATTATGTTGTTGACTCCGTAAATCCTCACTGTGCTGCATTCTGGAGGTATTTCTATCGGTGTGGTAAAATTCTCTTTCTCGCAGATCACGTGAACGTCTCTCAAAGTGAGCTGATCGCTGAAGAAATAACAGCAACATACAATTATTATCAGGTTGTGAAACGTGGGATATCATGTTTTATGGCATTGTAATGAAGTATGGCAAGAACAATGCACTTACTCTTTGTGACCCCCCAGGTTGTATCGTTGCAATAAAACTCATCCTTGTCCGCCATTCGTTCCTTTCTTTTTCGAACTGTTCTTCCATCTCTTCTCTTTCCCTTTCAAATTCTGCTTTGACTTTACTTTTTTCTTGGCGAGCTTTGGTCTTCATTTGGGAAAGATCAATATGGAGCTTTTCGATCTCCTCTTCCATTTCTCTCATTCTGCCTTCGTGATGTTCTTTTTCTCTTCGTATCTGCTCTTGATATTCATTGTCCAGCTTCGCTAAGACTTGTGCATTATTTTCCGGTGATAGCGGGACACTGACGTTTGCGCGACTATCTCTGTTAGACATTTGACTTTGTAGTTGTTTCCTGTGCTCTTGCAGCCGTGCTATCTCCTGGCGAAGACCTTGTAGCGTGCTTTCAATGTTTTCCTTTTCCTTTTGGAGTTTACGCCTATAATCCTCTTCTAGAGCGGCCTCCATGTCCTTCTTAGCTTCTGCAAGAGAGTTAGCCTCAGATGTAGCGTTTGCCAGTCGTTTCTCAAGCTCTGCCTTTTCCGCTTTAAACTTCAGTTTCATTTGTTTCAGCCTTGCTTCAAAATCTCCTCGTTGTTCTTCTCTTGAAAGTTCAGATTTTGCATTTTCACTCCTCAGTTTTTCTATCCATTCCTCTTCGATTTGATTGATTGTCTCAAGTTTACACTTTTCCCATATCTGCCTCATCTCTTTCTTTTCATTTTCAAAAGCTTCCTCCATTTCTGCTTTGTCTTTCTTCTGTTTCTTTTTCAGATCCTTCTTTTCCTGTTTCGCTTTTTCAAGCTCTTTAGTCAATGCCTGTATCGTGGCCTCCAATACGTTCTTTTCTCTTTCGAATCTTCTCTTCATTTCATTCCTTTCATTCTGCATTTCTTTTACCCTAGTTTTCATCTGTGCAAGTGCCGTGTTGTATTTTTCTTCCGTTTTCTTTGCGATTTCTTTCTGCTCTTGTACTTTCTGAGAGACGAGATCCTGAATTTTGTTCTCGAGACTTGTGCTCCTAGAAGACAGATTATTCGAAAAATCTTGTTTCATTTTCTCTTCTAGCTCTTTTTTCTCCTTTTTAAATCTGTGAGCAAGTTCTGCCTCCTCTTTGTCATGTTTTCCTCGGATAGCGTCCATGAGGTCTTCATAATACTTCTTGTTTTCTTCCATTCTTCTTTTGAAATCCTCTTTCAGTACCTCCTCAAGCTTCTGTTTTTCCTCCCGGTGTCCATTTTCTAAAGCAGTTTTTTGTTTTTCGTACTGCTTATGAATTTGAGCTAGTTTTTGCTCAAGTTTCTGGTTCTCGTTTTGAAGATATCTTATCTTGTCATTTGCCTCGCCAATGTCACTGGTGACATCATTTTCTTCCTCACCATCACCTTTCTGTGGTTGGTGGTTATAGGAGAAGTCTACTTGTGGATCTTGATAACTACTAAGGCCGTCTAGTGGTGATCTTGCATTTCTTTCAATTTCTGTAATTCGTTGTTCCAACTTGGCTTTTTCTTTCTCGAATCGAGACTTCATGGCCTCTTTTTGGCACTGAAACTCATCTGCCAATTTCCTTCTTTCGTCTTCATTCTTCTGAAGGTCATCTTCGTATCTGGACACAGCATTTCGGAGCATCTGTTCCCATTCCTCAGTTACTTTACGAACAGCCCCAGCGTTGTTGTTCAATTCATCCTGCAGTTGTCGGTACCTTTCTCGTTCGTTAGCCAGCTCCAAATTATGCCTTTCGACGAGTTCCTTCGTGTCGTTTACATATTTCTCCTCTGCTGCCCTTTTTGCATCTTTAAGAGTCCTTATATCGCATTGGAGTTCTTCTATTTCACTGTCCAGTTTCTTGCCTCTTGCCTTTTGTTCTTCCAGACGTCGCTCAGTTTCATCAATCGCATTTTTCTTGTCTTGTTCCAAAGAGGATACTAATTTGGACTTCTCCTCGGCAAATTCTTCCTCCATTGTTTTGATCTTCTTTGTTAGCCGTTCAACTTCGTCGCTGAGAAAGGCATTATTCCCTTCTACTTTGTTCAGCTTTTTGGTACTATCATCGATTTCTTCAAACATATCGTCCAGTTTTTTTTGTATTTCGCTTCGCTTCTTTGTGTGTCGAACAATTTCTTCTCGTAGCTCTTCATTTTTATCCTCGAGTTCTCTCATCTTAGTCACATCTCTACCTACCCGTTCTATTTTTTCCTTCAAATTGATGTTCTCCTCCTCTATCTCTTTATTTCTTTGCTGCATAATGCTGTTGTATTTTGTTACTTCTAAGACTTTCTTCTGCAGTTTGTTGGTGTGACTGCTGTTATCGTCTGCGAGTGTGTCACTATTCCATGACCGCTCTTCGCTTTTAGCGCGACCTTCATTCATGTCTGTAACAATGTTATCCCTCTCTGGCTCATTATACTGCTCTTCTCGTATTGTGCTCTCTAGTAGACCTTCTGGTTCCATGTCACTGATAACACCCTCGAAAATACCTGACTCCGTCGTACTTTCCATTACAGATGCGATCGTTTCTCTTGGAATATCTGCCATTCTTCTTATTAGCTGTTCATTTCTTTTCCTCTCCTCGTCTAGTTCAGCCTTCAGTCGCCGGTTTTCGCTCTCACGTCCTTCCATTATTCTTGCTTTCTCAGTTTCAAGCGATTCTCTTAACATTTCTTTTTCTCTGGCGTGCTTCTCCGAATCTTCAAGCATTTTACTTTTCAGCTGCATTAAGTCCTGAAGTAGAGCTTCAACATTTCGACTGAGCTTGTTTTTTTCCTCCGTTTCTTTATTCAAGCGTTCCTGAAAGTCCTCCAATTTCCTGCGAGTTTTGGCTTCCACCTCCAGTTCTTGTTTTTGTAGTTTTTCCACTCGATTATTCATGTCTTCAATCTCTTTTTCAAAGCTGATGTTGCGCTTCTTTAGATTGACAATAGCCGACTCAAGTTTTTCTTTCTTGAAAACTTCTTGTTCTAATTTAGTCTCAAGCTTTTTTACTTTCTCTGTACATTTAGTTTTGATGTCCACCATCTTAATGTCATTCTCAGTCAATAGTTTGGCTTTCTCTTTGTTTTTATTTTCAGCCTTTTTCAGGTTGTCCTTCAGGATTTCTATTTCTTCCTCTAAATCAAATTTCATCTCTTCCATCAATCTCTCTTGATCCTTCAGCATCCGTTCTTTCTCCCTCAGTGCTGTTTCTAACTTTAGCTTTTCCTTTTCTAGCCTTAGGTATTCTTCCTTGGGAGCGTATTTGTCCAAATTGTCAACGAGGTCGTTGAATGGATCACTCTTGGGGGCGTCCTGCAGGTGGTCTATTATTTCACTTAATTTCTCATTTTCTTTTGCTAAGATGGCGATATCTAGAGCATAGCCATTTTGCCCGGGAAAGCGGCGATTGTTATGATCATTTAGGGAAGTAACTCCAGCTTCTTTTGTGTTTTCAAATTTCTTTACTCCAACGCTTGGAGTCGTTCCCTTTCCCTGGGTATTTCCTCGTTTAAGCCGTTGGTTTTCCTGTTTTAAGTTCCTTATTTCGTCCTCGAGTTGAGAGGACTTTAAATTGAATTTTTCTTCAAGGAAATCCTTCTCCATTTTGTCCTGCCTATATCTTCGCTCAAAGATAGCTTTTTCTCTCTCAATCTGTCGCATTTTTGCCTGGCTATCCCTCTTCTCTCGTAACATCTCGTTGATCCTTGCGTCGCTTAGGTCTTTGTCCGCCATCCACTTGCTGGTCTGCAATTTATGGTCGGTACCGGTTCCGTACGGGTACGAATGAAAATCATCAAATTCATCTGAAGTTTCGCTGACGGTGTCGGTGAATCCATCGGGGTTATCGTTCCTGAGTTGCATCATGGCCTCTTTCAGGATCCTGTTTTCTTGAAGTACGTTTGACATGTCGCGATCGTCATCGGAAAATATCGATGACAGGTCATCGTCACCATAGAAACTGCCCGAAACTCTATCGTTTGCAAGGAAGTCGTCTTCCAAATTAGATTCGTAAGCGGCCCTTTCCTCTAAATGTCTATCGTGTACCTCATCTCGCGAAAGAGCGCCTTCATTGTTGTGTATTTCAGAATTTAATGAAACATCGTCCATTTCCGACCGTTTCTCTTCATCTTGTTCAACTGCTTCTGGTAGTGATCGGGTTTCCTCGTTGTCAAAATTCTCGTTTCCTTCCTGTAAACCACTTTCTCGGCCGCCTACGTCGTCAAAGTGTTCTGTGTTCTCTTCGCTTCCCTGGCTATCAGTATGTGAAGATATATTCTCCACTTCTTTAGTATTGTTTACCTGGGCGATCGGTTCGAAATTGTTGTCATGTTGTTTCAAATACCTGTCAAGATTATCGGTTTCAATCTCCTCGTCGGCTTTGCTATGGTCTTCATTCTCCTCGTCATCCTCCTGGCCGTCATGGAAGTTTGAATCTTTTGTTTCTAAGGCGCTGTCTTCCACGATTGTGGAGGTTTCAGATTTTTGAGATTCATCCATACTTTTATCCAACTCTCTTTGCATTACCAAGACACATGCATCTTCTTGTTGGTTTTTGTCTGCTTCATAATCATCCTCAGTTTGTAAATAGGTGTTCTGTGGGTCCCTGCCTAAAGCAGAAGGCAAATCATCCTCAAATCCAGGACCCTGGGGTTCAGATTCAAGCTCATTTGACGATTCTGGGTCAGTTGTACCAAATATTTCTTCTTCCACTGATATTCTGTCTGTTTCTTGTCTTGTATATTTATCATCTCCATCGATCTCCGCTGCTGACATTTCATGGTCGAGCGAGCCACCGATGGTAAAACTAGCATCATTTTCTGCAAACACTGTCGCTACATCATCCTCGAAACTTGTTATGGTCTCGTGATCTCCGCCTCTGGTTTTTTCTAATTGTGCGCTATCTGTTTTCTGCTCTCCCTCTTCAGGTTCATTCTCATTCTCTAATTCATTAGGTTTCTTGAGAACGGATTCGTTTTCTTCTGACAACGCTTCGTTAACTTCCTTACCTGAGCTTGCATCATCTCCATCGCCCTCTGCAATTTTGGTTTTTTCTATCGTACCTGAATTAGAAGCTTTATCCTCGTTTTCAATAAATCCTTCTTCGGCTTGTTCATCCATTTAATCGAAGGTAGACGTGTGGGTCAAAATTATACTAATATCCCGAAAATGGAATGCTTAAAATTCGCAGTTTAGTTACCCCTAAGTTTGTGTGGTATATCGGTATATCGCGGAAAAGATACTTCAGTTTCTTTTGTCTCAATGTTATTTGCTTCGCGGCACAGAACCAGTAAATGGTGATAATCTGTGCTTGAGAACTTGATCAAACTTCTGTTTAGTCCAGAAATTTCGAGCGCTGTTTCCCATATCTTCGATTTGTATACAACCCAAAAATGCCTTTATGTTGATGATGTGCCAAGCTCTTTGAAAAGGATTTCAAATAATTTATTCCTTCGCAATGAAAAGTATTCTTCTACATAATCCGCGAAGTAGTGCCAAACGTGTCATAAAAACTGAGTTCATGGGATATTATTCAGAAATAACAATTTCTTGAATGATAAGTATAAACAATGAAAACAGCCACCAGATGAGTAAACACCTCCTTTGGCAAACGTTTGCATGTCAAATATATCGTTATTCTTCGTAACCAAATCCGAGTGTATTCCACAATGTAGAATTGAGTTAAAAGTATCTAATCTTGAAGTGGTTACCAGTCGAATTCCATTTGGGCCCATGCAGAAAAAGTATCTTTGCGTCCATCCTTGGACTTTTTTTTTGCGTTTTTACACAGCAAGCCAAATTCTTGAAACCTCAAAACCACAATTTTTCATTTGTATGCATTTGTAATTTGTATGCACCAACCAGTGAAAATGAAACCTGTTGTTTTTTCAGAAAAACTGTATTTCTTTAATTAAGTATTTTTCTAAAGTAAAATATATGCTTGGTGAATTTCCAAGCTGATGCCGCTGAAGCCTTTGCCAGGGCTTCATTCGAACTTTCGAAAGGACTAGCACACACTTTTAGTCACTTTTTGACCAGAAGATTGTTTTTAATGACAAGAAATCATTTCTTATTGCTGGTGGCAAAATCCTCATCGATATCATAATGTGGTACAGATAAGAAAACTGTTTGAGAACATTCCTAGTTACTCAAACCAAAACCCAGTAAAATTTCATGTTGGTTTATTTCTTATGACTGATGTAACTAATAGTGAAGCTTTCGTAGTTCATCAGTCTAGTGAATCTCAGTACCTCTCTCCTAAAGAAAATCTCTATTGAATTAACGAGGAAAATATTTATTTCTTGAGAATGATCACGGCAATAGTCCTAAGGTGGAAAAAACAGAACATTGATATCGTCTTCTTGGTCTTCGTTTCTATCTCCTGCATTCACAGTGGCCGCTCAACACATAAAATACACGCTCTTAGGTAAACTTCTCACAAAAGTTGAAAAAAATCCTCGCGCCGCCATCTCTGTTTTTAATTTTAATCTCGCGCTTCTTTCGCACGTTTCTCTCGCGCGTGACGCAAGAGTTATCTGTTCCCCGCGCGAGGAAACTAATACGAGCCACCTTAAATTTGATCATTATCATTTTCACTCGAGACTGAGAAATATTTCTAGCTCTAATAAGAGCAAAGTCACATGCTTTGGACTCTTTGCACTTTTAATTTATTCTTAGGTTGAGTGGGGATTTCTCACTTAATTTTTTTTTTTTGGAATAAGGGTGATTTAGTTTAATTTTATACACCTTTTCAGAAAAAAAATGAGATAACATAAATTATTTAAATTGTGTTTTTAGCAGAGCCCCATACCCATGGAATATGGTCAACCTTTTTTCGTTTGGTTGTCACGTGACTGACCGAGCGTACGTACATGCCTTCAGATTGCGCGGGTAGGGTAGAGGAGACTATCAAAACGAAGGGAGGGGTGTCTCAGGCGAGTCTTGGCAAATGCACATCTTTTATGTTATCATTAATGTTACGAACTTGGGAGCTCCGCTTTTAGGCTTGGCTAAATCTATAATATTATGTTATTACTGCTACAGACACAAAACTTACTTTTGTTTCCGGCTGACTCTGAAACTAAAGGTGTATAACCCAAGCGTCGTTGCTTGTAAACTTGAGCGTGATTGATTAGAGAATTACTCATTTTGAAGTCGACACGGTTTATTGGTCACTATATTTAAATTTAAGGAGGAAACTTTATTCAAGAGTCAATCAGAAACCAAAACCTCCTTTCTTGAAAAGTGAAATCCAAGATATCTTGTTCTTGCCATGTCAAAGATTTTTTACCGTGCTATTAAAATAGCTTTCATGTAGTCGAGTGCTAATGCGTATACTGCTTTTCCTCTACGCTTAAAAATGTCAAAATAATACCTAGATGACGTTTCAATAAGAATGGCATCATAGAAATTTCCCTTGTTTATTACTCTTTCATTAATTTACACCAATACATACTGAATATGCCTCGGACATTTATTTTTATTTACGTAATAAAAACATAGACATTGAATGTGGTGTGCGTGGATCTTGCTTCAAGTAACTTTCTAAGTGATTCTGTAAATTACGCCGTGGAATTGGTAACCGATTTTCACGCAGGTGCACCGGAACAGGCCACTTAAGGATGTGAGTTTTGCAGTCTTCGAAACTTGTCATTCGTCCTGAATTGTGTTGTGTGAAGATAGTGTGTTTGAACGCAGCGTTTCTATCAGTGGTAACTACGCAAACATTAAAGTAAACGTTATGATAGACCACTTAGCAAGAGTCACTTCTTATGGCGTCCCATCGGGGCCAAAATTCAACATTGCGATTGGACATTGTGCTTTTAGTATTCTTCCTTATTTCACGATTGGACATTCAAGTTTTTATTCCTTATGAAACTTTTTCCGATTCAACATTGTCTTTTTTACAATTAAACTTCCAAGTTTCGAGTATTAAACATTGTACTTCTCGTAATTCCACTTTGTAGTTGTGACAATGCAGTATTGTTGTACTTATGGTATTGATATATTCAACATGCAGTTCTTCGCGCTATTCAACATTCAACTTTCCATCATCCAACCGCAACCCAGCTATTAACGAAGGAGCGCAGGCTCACTAAGGTCAAGTACCTCATGTAAGCCTCATAACTTCGTACGAGGTTATCTTGTGAGATGAAAAATGAACGATATCTCGTATTTGCTGGACTGTGTTCATAATATCCTAGCTTAAACAATAGTACACAATACTATGTACCTGACACACTTAGTTCATATGACATCATTCTTCTCTTAACTGTTCTGCAACTTACTTTAAGCATAGTTGCAATCTCTTGCAATTTAAAACCTTGTTCAATTAAATATGAGAGCTGTTCTTTGCTTATTACGTACGAGGGTCGTCCACATCTACTATCTTGTTGTACGCAAGCGCTATAACTTCCATAAGAATTCTCAGTTCTTTCGATTTCTACCAGCAAACTATGAGCTCTACCCATGGTTTCTGTTATGAAATCATCGATGTCTAGATTTACCAACATCCTTTGCAAAAAATCTACTTTACCAACAAGAAGCTGAACATTTCCCTGACTGTTATGTACGCCTTGAACATTATTTAAAATGTCTAGGATATTATGAACACAGTCCAGCAAATACGAGATATCGTCCATTTTTCATCTCACAAGATAACCTCGTACGAAGTTATGAGGCTTACATGACGTACTTGACCTTAGTGAGCCTGCACTCCTTCGTTAATAGCTGGGTTGCGGTTGGATGATGGAAAGTTGAATGTTGAATAGCGCGAAGTACTGCATGTTGAATATATCAATACCATAAGTACAACAATATTGCATTGCCACAACTACAAAGTGGAATTACGAGAAGTACAATGTTTAATACTCGAAACTTGGAAGTATAATTGTAAAAAAGACAATGTTGAATCGGAAAAAGTTTCATAAGGAATAAAAACTTGAATGTCTAATCGTGAAATAAGGAAGAATACTAAAAGTACAATGTCCAATCGCAATGTTGAATTTTGGCCCCGATGGGACGCCATAACTTCTCGCGTGTTCTGTATTCACGCCTGGCTCAGCGTGATCCCAATTAAATTTTTCCATAGTTGACATCCTGATAATCAGGAATTCTTTACACTCTAAACGTAAAAAAAAAGATATAGTTAAAACAGAAAGCAGAAAAAACGTCTAAAAACGGTGCAAGTTTTGATAGCAAGTTGCTGTTAAACGTTGGCCATGAAATTTGCTCCGCAGCGAATGATTAATTTATGATGACGTCTAGTCACCATTTAGTGATAGGTATAGTGATGTATTGCTCTGTGTGTATGAAAAATTGTCTGCATCCCTAACTTAACCACGCCTACAAAAACGATGGAAAAGGCCTTTGAAGTTGAGCAGAAAAGCTTTCCAGAGGGCAACCAAACTGTGGTAAATTCAGTTTGCACTAAAAAGGTTGACCAAAGCATACTCAGCAGGTTTATACGCCTTATTTAACAATTGGTTCATACGTCAACGTGCGTTCATCGAGATATGAGGCACCACAGGTGGCCCAAGCTCTGCCACAGGCTCTTTCACAGTGGATTATTAAAGAGTTTGTTTAGTGGTTTAGTTGGACTTGCTTTTGAGCTCCGTAAATGTAAAGTTGTGTGAAATAATCAAAGAAATAAAGTCTTAACTTCATACTCTTCTCACATACCAAGGTATCCCGGGTAAGAGGATATTTGTGAAAGTCCATTGAAAAGAGTGAAGATGGACAGTATCGACGATCTAGTCAAGTCGACGAGTTTACCCGGGGTACCTTAGTATGTGAGAAGATTTGGTGTTAGAAGACTATGGAGAGGACCCGTTGAGAGAGATTTGACTAGGGTCCAGGTTGACCGCGCATTAACGGTCTCAGCTGCACAACATGATCCTTCCACGCATTAGAAGAATTTAGAACGGCCGTTAATTTGAAATTCTTGCTGGATTGGTTGCTCGACAAACCAACTTTTCTGGGATTTTTTTCCGTGAACTTAAAGGGAAACTATTTCGCTTTCGTGCTGCCAAGGTTTAATTCGAGGGAATGTATTTAAGTGTTGTTTTCGAGCGATTTTGGCGAGCATGTGTAAACAGAAGTTTCCGACCTTCCCGTATCTTGTGCACGGTGACTCGGTGGCGATTAGCGCGTCAAGCTAAAACTCATCAAAACGTCCACAAATCGCGAGGAGAACAACACAGACTACTCTCTATGAAGGTAAGACTTTATTTCATTGACTATTTCACGCAACTTTACATTTACGGAGTTCAAAAGAAAGTCCAACTAAACCACTATACAAACTCTTTAATAATCCACTGCGAAAGAACCTGTGGCAGAGCTTGGGCCACCTGTGGAAGCACGCGGGAAGTTTGGAGAGCACGAAAGATGCGTAAGAGTTGCTCGAGGCGTAGCCGAGAGAAACTCTAGCTTCTTGAGTTGTACTTGAGAAGTACATGCTACAGTCTCGTGGGTGCTACTTGCTTGCTCTCTAGCAATTTTCCTCTTCGTGTAAGTTTAATCTGGATCAGGATCGACTATCGCGTCTTTTAACCCCGATTTGATATAGTCATCAACCCTGGAGAAAATT